GCTAGAGGAAATGACATCCGAACTGGTAGGAGCTCAGAAATAATCATGCCCGATCTGACGGAAGCCTGGAAGTGAGTGCGCGAGGTGGTTATAAAAGGCTCCTACCCCCCAAGAACGAGGTATGCTAACTTTGCGCTATCTGGTCTATCTTGCCTTTTAAAGACTCTAACTTGAGCTTCGGAGCCCTTACGCCGGGTTCTCCCCGGAACTTCTTCTCTCCCTCCGTTTCAGGTCCCTGCTACTCAGTTTAGAGGCAAGATCGTTGACAGCTAAAATCGGCCGGATTGTGCATCACCAACACCATTTCCCATTCTCACCTATCCTTGTCGATTGTGGTAGTAACTCATGTAAAATAGAAGAGCAACAATGACAAAAAAAAAAAAAAAAAGAAACCTTCTCAAAAACATGAGAGAGACGCCCCAACATTAGTACGAAACCCATCAGCAAAAATCCAAATTCAGGAAAACATTTTTCAAATAAGTGATACGATATCTGGTCCATCGGGAGTTCCATCAACGTATTTGAGATACTTAAGAATTAAAAGCTACTAAAGAATAAACTCACGCCAATTGATTTGTTCTTCAATATTTACAAGGTAGAATAAAGGCTGCTATATCTGCATCTTCGAGCTTCAAAGTGTGCAATTCCTTGCATTAACAACTCATGAATAAAACCACCATAATTATGATGGAAAGCAAGGATGGGTTCGTGGATATACCTCCAGAGAACACTTTATCTTCTGCAGAAGAAAGCAACAATAAAACTCATAAATACAAATAAATATATATAGGAATTCAGAATACCCAAGGCAATAACAATTTGTAACTGGAACTTGTATGAATAATAATCTTCTAAACAAAACTTACTACACTGTTTTGGGTGGCAAATGCACCTCAGCCCAACCCCACAATTGCCCTTCGGCTTTGTGCACTCGCTACATATATTCGGTACATGGTCAGGAATATCAAAAGACACCCTTGTCCCCAGCTGAAATCCTTCGGTAGAAGTGTCTCTGTAGACTCTGTTGTAATGAGAGCAGCCTAGATCTTTTGGATCGAAACCCATTTCCAGTTTCTCAGAATCATGAACAAATAAGCAAGAGGAGATCCCTTGTGGTTCTTGTTTTGGATATGGTCCACAATCATGGAGGTGGGTACAGTTACGGAGAAATGGGGAGAAGGATTTTGTCCGATTGAAGCAGTTGAAAAGAAGAAGTGAATTTGGTTGAGGTGGAGAAGGAAAACCAGCTGAGAGAAGGGAAGGAGAAACATAGTGGAGTGAAGAGGTACAAGAAGAGTGAGAGATGGTTAGTGTTCTAGCTCTATAATCTATAGAAGAGATTGGAAAAAAACCAAGAGAGGTTCGAAAATATACCTTGTGGGATCTGCATAGGAGCATTCTGTTAACTGGAGATGATGATTCCACTGATTTCAGTAGAGTAAATGGGGCCTGAATTCTGATTTTACCACAGAAGCTAGTGGGAATGGGTTGGGCGGCACACAAAATGGAGAGAGTGAGATTGAGAAGGAGAAGATGGAGAGGATTGGTTTTCTTGAATGTCTCCATTCTGACTCTGTTATTTTGTTTTCTGTTTTACAAATTTGATGGGAGAAGAAAAAAATTGGTAGGTGGTAGTTTGGGGATGAACACAGAAGTGAGAAAGAAAGTACCGAAACAAAGAATCTACTTTTGATCTGCTATTTGTATTACTTTCTTTGTATCTAGACTCTACTGTCTGCTTTTTAATCTTTGGTAGGTTCTTGAGGGACCCATGTTAAAAAACTTTACTTTTCTCCATGTCTTTTTTAATCATGAATTCCATCTTGTTCTCTGATTCCTCTCTTTTATATCAATATCCTCCCATTTTATTTATTAATGTATTCGAAATTGATCAGACTTGAGAATAATTAGATTCTCGTTTTATACAATCCTACAGAAAGGGAAAACAATAATAAAAGGAAATGAATGGAAATGCAAATGATTATACCCTTCATCTTGAACTTTCGTACGCCAGCCATACACCAGGATATAATTTTGTTTGGTCAGACTCAGACCTTTCTTCAATTTTTTTGTATCACCGGGTGATCTTCAGTCCTTGTGATTGGCCACCGTAGAGAACTTCCAGTCTCAGAAAAACCAGGTCAGTCTAAGCTAGAGCTGATGTTTCAGGAACAAACACTGCTACAAGAAAACAACTTCCCTTCCTTGCCTATCAAAATGCTTAAAAAGCTTCAAAGTTGATTTGCCACAGAGGGAAAGACTAGAATCTCTCAATCATTTCACAATCAGATCACTGCACATTCTTAACCAACCCATTTCAGTTTGAGATAGTGTACTGAACTAAACAACCGGGTATAAGTCCTATGCGTATTCACTCTTCCAGGAACTCCACTCATGACTGCAGATGCTGCATGCATGGCTCACTCTGGAAGACGAGACCTCTGGACTCTAATATTTTCTTTCTTCTTTCTTTTTTATTTTCTGGGTGTATATTCTTGCCCATGTTGAGAAGAGATATCAAGTTGGGGACAAGATTATTAACGTGAGACCTCCATAGTTGTGGCGAAATCAACTCGATTTGAGTAATATCTCAAGCTGATCGATTAGGTGCAGCGGCTAGTCAAAGGGAATATTATTTTATTTTTTCAAGGTTAATGGGCATGCATGCCGCTGATTTTGATTGGGCTGAGTGAATACATTTCTCCTGTGCGTGCTTTCACAGAATATATAAGAAAAGGTTGATCCATATCAAGATACAAAAACCAGACTGACTACATTGAAGAACAATCCGAAATCTTCATGGGAAGTATTACAGTACCACCCACATAATAGAATCAACAACAGAAAATGGTACGACCCTGCAAAGAAAGATGTGCTCAAGCGCGCGCGCACACACACACAGAGAGAACACAGACTTGAGGAGTAGTTCTTGATCATCCCAACATCTTGTGAATCATGCTGGGGCCTTGACAACAACAGTAGGGAAATCAAGCAATATTGCTTTCTCAATTGCTGCAGAAAAGATGCCGGAGAATTCAACATGGCTTGGATGGCTGACATAAGTAGCAAGATCTTCTGCACTGCGGAATGTGACCGTGAAAGTGTGGGTGAAGCCTTGAGACAACATCTCAATGTTTCCCGTGTCTTGGCCCCTGTTTACCAAACAACTAGAATGAAGCTCAAGCAGATGAAAATAAACCAACTAGTGTTCATCAAACTGGGTAATTAACATTTCTAAAGGGATTGCTTATGTGAAGGATAGGAGGATGAGTCTATATCACACAGATGGGTGACTATCTAGTTGCAATTTTGTATATGTTTTGTGCTCAGGTTCAGGGATGTTGATGATTGATCAAGTCAGTCAAACGACTCAAACTGTTTTGGGTTGTTTGATCAAGTCAAGATCTGATGATAAAAGCTGGAGCTCTAAACCCCCTGAATTCATGAACAAGAATTAGGCTTGTAAAGGGCATGAAAATTGAAGTCTAGATAGAAAAAAACATGCATTGTGATGGCAACACAAGAGAGGAATTACCATTCGAAGGACTTGACGATGTCAATCTCTGAAACCAGCTTCTCCATCCCTTTCACTATGTCTTCAACCACCACTCCTTCCTTGAACTTAACCACCGCCAGATGCTTGATGTCTCCCATGGCCGGAGTGCTGATGAGAAGTGTGACTACAGATGAGATGAGAGAAAGGTATATAAGGTATATATATACACGCAGCAGACGCAGGTTGGGATGTCAACTTTGGGGAACTGTGTTTGTCTAATATGTCCGATGTTGGCCCATTACGTCGTTTGTGTTGACAGCAAGCGCAGAGGGGAAGGGAGGTCACGCCTTTGCTCGACAGTATCAACCACAAAATATTCGCAGAGGTACAAGGGGTACTTGGAAGAGAGCCCACCACATGAGTGGTTACATTCCTCCCCTCCATGATTAAATTGTCCGATGCTGACCAGTGCTTGGCTGTTTACACCGACGGGTGTCTGTCGATCCTCTCGGGGTTTGGATTGGGTTCAGCTTCAGCTTAGTTTTCAAGGACATAATCATAACTCTTTGACACTTGACAGCCTCTTTTTAGCTGTTGTGACACCGACTGTGTGAAATGGAACGGGGGTTGCTCTGCCCTCCATGAGCTGTTGGGTTCTTTCCTCCACACACCTCAGACTCAGAGATGGGTTTCTGCTTGGATTCAGACCAATGTCGCCTGCACGTGCTATAAGGCATCTTTATTCTTTAGGTTGATCATTGGTGCATGCATGGACCAATGAAAATATGGTTTTATCAAGATAGGTGCCTTGACGATTCCTTCCAAGTCTGAACCATGCTTTTAGGAAGCTTTACGATCTGCAAGAGACTGTAACTCTTGTATTTGCCCAAGGAAGGTGGCTAACTAACCATTTTCCTTCTTTTTTTTTATTTATCCTTTTTAATATACGAGTACAACACTACAACTTCAGCATAAATGGCCAATAATTTCTTTTTACCCTTACTAAACGATTTTCTTTCCTCTTCATATTCTTAGTTTCTTACTACTAACTAACTAGAGATCATTTTGGGGAGGGGGGTAAGAGGCAATGGAAATGCAAGCTCCTTCCAAAGCAGTGCCATTTTGAACATGAGCCCTTTTGGATATTGAAGAGCACTGAGCGAAAAATCACCAAAGAAACCTACAAATTTGTTGAGAACTTGTGGCTGAAAAAGATTGTAGATTTAGTAAAACTACCCAAAGAGGCAAATAAATAGCATCGAGTAAATGACCCTGCCAAAGTGCCAAAATAGAACAGTCCCTCACTGCATTTTGACTAGTCCTTGAGGGAACTACAGTACCCATGATACTCACCGGAATAAGATAATAACAATGTGTAAAACAGAAACTACGGATATTAGTAAATCCACAGCTTTTAACACTGCAAGCGGTACAGTATTCACAGCTCGACATGATCGAGGATATTTCTCTCAGATGAATACCAGATGCTACACGACAGGGTCTCAAGCCCCACCATAACAAAGTGAAGCATCTTAAGGAGAAATCAACAAATAGGTTAAGAAGAATTCAACAAAAAACGTGAGTGGGTCAAAAACGATAGAGATAGTACACTGTGCATGTTTAGAGGAAAGCAACAACCACCTCCACCAAGCTTGAATAATCTTTGACCCTGCTTTTATAGTTGAACACACAAAGCTGCTAAGAAGCCAGCTATCCTCAGGAAACCACTGAAAATGTTGCCATATGTACAGTAAGCCGTAAGAAGAAACGAGGTCTGTAAAGTGACTTCAATGCCAACATCTAGTCTCGGGCAATAGCTAAGTGTCAATGAACATAGATACAGAATACCCCATGTCTTTATGAATTTGATGGACTCTCAACATGCTTGTTTACTGATTTGTAGAATGCGGTGTCATTTGGGATCTGAGTGTCTTCTGTCAAGGAGATATTCCCTCCAACCTCTGCTGTACCAACCTCAGATGTAAACTGATCCTCTTGGATGGGTTCCATCCTTCTGTTGTCTACGGGTCTTGAGGAATACCCATGGCTAGTGTGTAAACAGTGATTTGAATGCGAGTCCAGGGAATTCATCCCATATGGAGATCGGACGGCTGAACTGAACATGGGTTGCATTATGCGTTTTCTCTCTGGAGACTGACGCAATGAAATTCGACAGACAGGACAGGTGGAATGTTGCTGCAGCCATATATCTATGCAGGTCACGTGGAAGGAGTGCCCACAGTAGGGCAGGATACGCAGTATGTCTTTTTCTTGATATTCTGAAAGGCACACCGTGCATCTGACAAGTATGACGTCAGACAATTTAGTTACAAGAAATAACTAGCAAAAGAAGAAAATATATACACAAAAAGAAACAGATAAAAGGAAAAGAGAAAACAGAATGATAATAAGACATTTTAGATCAGCAATGGATCAAAGAAATTTTGTTAAAATGATAAGAGATAAGGAAGCAAGACCCTTGGCATAAAAAAAGTGGAAGATGAACAAAATACAGTGTTGTACACTGGCCAACATATGAAACAAATAACAACAGAGCATCAATAATAATAAAAGACATTGTTCCAAGTTATGACTGATCAGGCAAGTCACGTTGGCTAGATAAAATCTCAATTAATTTCAAATTGGTGAGGCAAACTACAGTGCAATTTATAGAGAGTTGGCAGGATCTTTACGCCTTGCATATATTTGTGTGCACAAGCACATTGTTCTCATAATATGCCTCTTTAACATAAGGTTGACATAAGGACATGATTACATTTGGTCAGAGGCACATGTCATGTTCAGGAAAAGAAATATTGTTTCACATCCACAGCTGCTGTAAAGAACAAAAATGGTATTCCTATCTACCACTTGGATATTTGTATTCTTTCAATCAATCTCAATGATCTCCATTATTTCATAAAAAAGTGCAGTGTGAAAGTAACTTTATTTGCATATTGTGGCTAACATGTATTCTTGAACAATTTGAATATTAAACACCTTATCTTGTCCAAAATATGTCAGGGCAAGCTAGAGGCCCAAGTGACTTGGCAAAGTGTTAAAACTAAAAAATAACATAGATGCACATAACATTATTATGGAAAATTAAGATGTTTCTTGGTTATGATAACAATACCTCCCATTTAATGGGGAAAAGAAAAAGAAAAAATCATGGACCAGGAGAGTGCAAATGTTGTAACAGCAAAAAGGGATCTTGAGTTTGAGACTTTTATTGTTCTATTTCTTTTTAATCAGAAGCTGCTTTCATTCTTATCAATCATATAATGGTTGCATCTACTGAAAAGAATCTGAACCACACCTCTTTATCCATTGCACCATAGATGGAAGGAATCGGATTGGTTTCCTCAATGCATCTGCAATAGCTTAACTATTTTTTTATCAATAATATAGCTTAACTGTTTCCAGTGACAGATATGTCGGTGGGCTTGATTAATGGGTTGGTTAAATTACCCTTTGCATTTGAAGCCATTTAATGCAGAAGAATCGCTGCTTAAAGATGTAACAAAAGGTTGTGAATTATCAAAAGGGAGATAAACTCCATTTCTGAGTTACATATGAAAGCAATAGGTTTAGCCACAATTACTAAATTGTCCTTTGTCATATGAGAGCCAATAGGGAGATAAACTCCACTTCTGAATTACATATAATTATGGAGCCAAACATGAGAAGGGCAACTCCTCTCAAAACCAAACCCACCCCTTCCCCACACAGGGCACTATTGATCTTGCTCAAATAGGGGCATCACAGACAGAATGGATCTCCCATTTAACTCACCCCACTACAAGGGACCTGTCCTCCCAAAATATTATAATACTGTACTTTTGAAACCTAGAGAAGGGTGTATAATCTGAGTCAAAACAACTTGTCAGAGGCTACAGTCTGTGGATGCAGAAAAAGATAAGTAATGTGCCAAGCATCACAAGACTAACCCTTGCAAGCCCCTTACTGTACACTTACAAGCCCGCATCCAGGGGAATTATGCCCCAAAATAACCAACTCCTTGTTGCTCCCTGTATTGCTAGATCAGCAGCCAAAAAGTTAGCTGACCTTGGACCCATATGCATCTTTCCAACTAGCACCCCCAAGAGCCTGTCCTCTCAAGGTTACTATTAATGATTTTCTATTGATTTTTTTTCTTTTGTACCAGTAATAAAGATCAATGGTTATTAATTTTTTTTCTATTGATTTCTAGCCATTTGCTTATAAAAAAAATGATTTCAAAACTTTTTGTTACTTTTATAATCAATTAACTTCTCATTGTGGTCATTTAGTGGGGAGAATGGTGCTTTGCCTGAAGAGACCATGAAGAACCAACAAAAAGACCAGCCTGAAATAATGAGTTTGATAATATAAAAACCAAAGAATTTCGTTTTATTGGCATTTCTTTCTTCTCTTTTCTTTGTTTTCCTTATTCATGTTGTCTACTGATACATCAAGGGCAAACAAGTTAAAAAGGATGAATAACATTTTATTCTAATGCCAAGTGGTTTGCTCATTTCTTTTCTTTAGGGGAAGGGTGCATACAAATGTGCTCAACTCAACTTAAAAAGACTAACTTTAACTATTTGAGTCCACCACACATCCTATTTCTTCACACTACTTTAACAAGGGTCAAATTATAAGAGAACTTTGTATTGTACCATTAGTAAAAAGATTATCATCATCATCATCCAAACCTTGTCCAAATTATATGAGGCAGCTACATGATCCTATTCTGCCATTCCATTCTATTCAATGCCATATTCATTGTAAAATTAGCTAGGAAAAGATTGATTGTTGCTATTAAAAAAAAATCTCTTCCCCATTTCTCCCTCCTATCTGCAATGAAATTTGGCTTTCTAGAGATCCACCTAAGTTGCATCCTTATTCCTGGTAGAATTTATCTGATCTCATTTAATAGATAAGCCAAAAATCAAGGGCCACTACCCATGCATTTACTCCATCAGATAACAATAGCCAAGTCACCTTCGATAACAAGAGAAGTGGTTCATGCTTGCACATCAAAATAGGTGCCTAAGATAATGCACCTCACCTCCACTCCAGAGAAGTCCTTGTCTCCAATCAGCCAGCTCAAGTCCAATAAATGCTCCCATCTGCAAAAAGTTCCCTCAACCAGATGGTGCACAGAAAGCCCTGATGTCTGCTTGTTTTGAGGTTGAGGAAGAGCTCCCAACAAACCTGAGAAGGATTCTCTCTAGGATAGGAGGAATGGCTATGTAGTGACTAGTGAGTAGGGCCTTTGGTGTAACTCTATTCAATTTTGAGTCCTTACTATCCCTCATTCTGGCACCTACTAAGGCCACTCCTAAACTCTTCCATATGTAATCATCTTTGCAACTCAACCGTTTCAATATTCTCATTTCCGCTAGACTCATTTTCTGGGTGTGCAGAGATATAAAAGACAATAAGGTATACAGTAGGAGAATTGGAAATAAAGAGAAAAAATTACAAAAAATTACAAAGAAGAAAATAGGGTACACAGTCCAATACAACATGAGCCAAAATCACCCAAAAGGTTCACAAGAAAAAAATTGCAAAATCATTTAAAATCAAGATACAAAAATTAAAATGGTAAAATGTAAGTTCAACTCAAAAATCCTTAATCCCAATAATCTGGGGTCAGCTACAAGAACCCTGTCTCACCATTGCACCCGATCAAGATCCATGTTTTCTGTCAAATTGAAGTCCTTAGATGATTTCTTATTACTTCAAACAATATCTTTTTAGGCATTCCACTTGCTCTTTTAGAGCCTTCTACTGGCACCAAGCCACTCCTCATTGGTGCCTTCATTGGCCATTTATGCACATGGCTCTATTATCTTAGTTGATTATCTCTCAACTTGTCACCTTGTGGTACTACTCCCCCAAGTCATTCCTAATGCTCTTGCTTCTAATTATAGCTTCCCAACTCCATGTTACATGGATGAAGCGAGGGCATAGCTCAGGCAACTAAAGACTACATCATTAGTAAACTGCATACACCACGGGAAAGGAATAGGAGAGGTTTTTTTTTTATGGGGAAGTAAAACACATCAGAAGAATAGAAACTAATATTGGTGATGGAATACGAGTCAGCTTATCCTAAGTTTAAAGATATTGGTAGATCATCATTTGGAGCTTACGTCTGCAAAACATTGGATGTTGTTATTGATGGGATAGTTGTACTCCTTTTCAGCGGTTTCAGTTTTTTTGGTAGTTTGGTGTTTGATTTTGGATGATATCTCCTCAACTACTGCTCTAATGTTCATTTTCTATTTAATAAACTTCTACCTCACTATCAAAAAATACCTACAAAGTGTTATCTGCATTACTGCATACATTATAAAATATGGATATATGTATTTGTTAATTTTCTCACCTAGGCATCAACTTGCCTTGCAAGGACAAAATGCTTAGGCATCAAGTAGCCATCCTTACCTACACTGGCTAATTCTCTACTCTTAGGAGGCTTTGTCAGAGATGCCTAAGCCAAAAATAATTCCTTTTCAAAACATAAATATCTTCAAAGTTCAAATCAATCACAGATAAGAACTCAGTCATCAAAAAGGGGAAAGAGAAATTTCTGTATTTTTGTCTAAAACTATATATAGAAAAAAACCAAATTAGCTTCATGCCAAGGATGGGCAGTTAATGATGCTGTTTCCTGACAAAGGTATGATGAAGAATGTCCAAATAGATTCTATTGACTAAGCAAAAGCAATTAAGTCCTAGCACCATAGCATGGTATGTATCATAATGAAATTAGCCCTAAACAGAAGTATTGACATCACATTACTAAAAAAATGACGACAAACATGAAGAAGAATGGTGCTGGAATACAAATATTTGAATTCATTGCAAGTTGATTGAATCTCAGCCCAATCCAAAAAATGAAGATGATCTCAAATCCACCTTGTTTCCTGAGTTCTCTTTTTTATTGAAGATAAATAAAAAAAAAATCATTAGAAAGAAAGAAGGAATGCAAACAGGTGATAAGAAATCACCCCGAAGAAAAAGAAAAAGCCACCCTGAAAGCAACCTCACAGTTCAAAAATCACAAACCCCCCTATATTTTGAAGCTTAGAACTCACAATTACAATTCTTCCCACGCCCATAGAAGAACAAAAGGAAAATGTCTTCAGCTCCCACCACCTCACTCTCCTACCTCCGAAACTTTCTTCCTCCAAAATTGGCAGGTACTTTCTTCAGTTTCTCAGAAGAATTTTTGTAAACTCCTCATTCCCTGTGAAATAAATCCCCAATGTTTTACTCACCTCCACCTCCTTATTAACTACCTCTTCCAAATCTACCCTTCTTTGAACAACATAAGTTTTGTTCACTTCCACTTCCTTCTCCCACACCGAATCATCTGAATCCAAGTCTTCTTTATCTTCCAGGTCTTCAACAGGTTTTGTTCTGTCTTTTGTTTCTCCAAGGGCATGAGCAGGCTTTCCATGATCCCCACCCTAGCTTCAGAGCCATCCTTCCCTTCCTCTTGATCGGAATCTTGACAAGTAATGTCAGCTATGCTATCAAGAACATCTCTAGATTTCTTTGTCCAAACATACCTCAATCCCTTAATTTTGGTAATATAAGAAAGTCTAGAATTACCCATCTATCAAGTTCAAAACTACACAATTTAGACATGACTCCAGAGTATGTAGAGTAATGGCTAAAAGATTGGCAATGTACAAGTCACAGTTATCTCCTATCTTTGGTTTATCATTGCAATAAAATTTTAGTTGGTTTGTCCAGTTACTATCAAAGCCTTCTATGTTAGTAGATAGTAACTAGAATTCTTCTACATTATTTGTTTCAAATCAAAGATAGAGGTGGGAATCCCACCAAACTACCACAAAATATAAAACAACTTGTAATGAAAAAACAGAAGAATTATACTAGGTGCATGTTGATGCTCAAGATTCTGTATGTATGAACACCATTAAGAGCTCCCAAAAAATCAACAGCCAGAAAAGAAGACAAAAAAACCTCATTAAAATGTATGTTGATGCTCAACTGTCCTCTAAGATCCTCAAGTATTTGACTTATCAGCTTCTCTTCAGAGCAATGTTTTAAAAACAGACCTGGAGGCTTAACCATTTTTGCCTCCGGGTTGTGGATCAGTGATTCAACCATTTGGGTCAAGTGGGTCAAACCGTGAAACATCAGTGCACACACACACTGATGTAGGAGTAGGACCAGCTCAATTCTAGTCCTTAGAGAATGTTGAATGGTCTTCTTTGATCAGAAATTTATGGCTGTTGATCGCTGTAATGGCTTCTTGAAGGAATGAGAAAGAAAATAGAGAGAGAAAATACCCGGAATCATTCACAGGGTGCCTTGAATCACTCTAGGGTATGGGAATCACTCACCATAATTAACATAAGCTGAAGAAAACTCAATAAACTTCACAATCTTTGAGTAAAATGTCCATACATATTTATAGACTCTAAACTCATAATAATCCTAAGAGTCAAACTGTTAGACTCAATAATCCTAGTAGGACTCAAACAAAGCTGTCATATCCTATTTCAATTCAAAGAAGACTCAATAACTCTAATCCTACTAATGCAATGACTCTGAAATTTTAAACATAAACAAAGTATAAATAGACAATCAAACCCTGTTATTAGACCCTACAGAAAATTTGTAAAATGGCAAAAATATCCCTTGTGTCGAAAAATACAGAAATACATAAATTTTCACAAAATTCCAATTTTGACTCTTCAGCTCCTGCATCACACATGTATCAATTAAATAATGTATAATTATATTCTACATGAAATATATGTATATATAAGGTTTATATTGGGTCTAATTTACATTTTTTTTCTTTTTTATTCAGTTTTTAATTTTTTTATAAATAAAAAAGATAAAAATTGAGATTGGAGGCTAAAAATGGCACTTCTTGGAAAAATTAGTGGGGCAGTAAGTCATTGGGGAAACATGAGTTGTAGCACCACCAGCGGGGGTGGTGTGGTCAATCAGGTCGGAAAGAAACATGAGACTCTTTGAAAATCAGTTGAGATCAGGGGAGGAAGTCTTAAAGATCATTTGGGGAAGGTTACATGATCCTGGGTGGCAACTCACAAACTGTTCAAGAATTGTCCTTACAATTCTTTTTTGGAGTATGGTAATCTTTTTTTTTTCTTTTTTGATGAATGTTTGGAGTATAGTAATCTTTTTGTATGATGTTCTTTTTTTGGTTTTCTGAGTTGTACAAAGTGCTTGCCTTGCTCAGTGCCTCAATGGGCAAGGCTGCTCTTTCAGTCTTTCTATTAATGAATTACTTTACCTTTTCTCTCAAAAAAAAGGTCCACTGGGAATAAAAATACAGTAAAAATTTTGTTCAACCATGAGCAATACAGTAAAAAACATGGTTAAAAAATGAGATATGCACTTGAAACATCTTCATTTAAAAAGCATAGAAAGGGAAAAAACAGCATATTTATGTAAAGGAATGTATAATCTATTAAAATATGCATATGATCCCTTATTTTTGAGAAAATACTTTTCATATACTATATGTTTTCTCAGTGTTATCGAAGTGTTGATTAGTCAACCAACCAGTCAATTGAGGAGCAAGCCCACTGCATCACTAACTAGTCAGTCACTACTCATGATGTGCACCTAGAACAACAAAGCATTGACTAGGTGAACTAGTCAATGACAAAGTTACCTTAAAGTTTCTATTGGCTACATGCAAGCTGTTTTTTCAAGTATTAGTGCTGGAATACAGTTGACTGATGGTTTATAAAATAGAAACAATGCATAAAGATGAAAGTGGAAGACAGGTTCTTTTATGTTTTCTTGCAATCAGTAGTGTGGTAATAAAGAATTGCCACAAACAAGGGGTACATAAATTGGTCAAAGGTTGCTCTCTTTCTTTTTAAAAAACAAAGGCTTAATTCCCTATGCTAGCCTATCCAGACTAACTTTTTTGTGTCGTGACACAAAGATTGTAAATGTTTAGTATCATTCTTTTATTGCATATTTACAGTCTAATATTAACTTATTTAGGAGATTGCATCAATATCATAAATTTAGAACACATCTTTTCTAGTCAATTAGTAGATGCCTAAGCACCAATATTTGTTGCATCAACTAGTAAAGCCAGAATGACTAGAGATCATCACATTGATTACACTGTATTTTCTTAAAAAAGCATAGTTCATTAACTTAGTGAAGTCAACTTGGAACTTTGGAAGTCATGGAGTTGACTTGGGGAGCCATGTTGAAGAATTTTATAAATTATGCATATATTACATTTTATTTTATATTATAATGAGTTCAGAAGATCCTCTACTATCTAATTGATAGTTCAGATAGGCCTTATTCCTCCACCTGGGATCATCTAGGGAGGTTTCATAATTGACCTGATAAGAAACCTTTCCCATTGATTAATTTAAATTTTTAAAGAAAAGCATGAAAAATGAGATAAATCTATCATTAAATTTTTAAACATTTATAATACCAATTTTCTGCATTTTAAAATAGTGTATATTTAAAAGGTGTCTAGGTAACTGATAGGAATCAATGAAAATAAACTTGGCCAAGGGTCACAGGAGTCTTTATCACCTGACTTGGAGGAGTCATAAGCAGAATGAATCAACACCATGACTCGGCTCATGCTTGCAAGTGGCAAACTATGAAAAAAGTTGGCATATTTCTCTGGTATTCATTCAGCACAGTTTTGATAAGTATAAAAATCCAAATATTCCTTGCATAAATTACCATGTTTGTGTTATCTTGAGTTACTGCTACTTAACCCCCAATTCGGGACTCTGAAAACTGTCCCTTGCCAATCAAAAATACAAATGTAAGAAAATGCATATTCTGAAAAGGGCTAGCAAACTTAATTATGCATACCCATATATCAGAAAATGAGGTCTGTTGAGAAACCAAGGGACTAATTCAACATGCCTTATTGCCTATGTTCACATGAATAGAGAACAAAATTGACAAATGCAAATCACCTATATTTTAGGCTTGACATCTTGTGAGATAATATTCAATGCTGCAAACTGTCACTTTCTGAACAAACAAGTTTATTTGAAAGGTAGGCACTAGAGAATGGCAATAAGCTAAAAGGTATTACCTTTTTTACTGGTACTGAAAGGTAATGAAATTTACAATACCTTTTTATCAGTAAAACTTATGATGATTTTATCCCCACAAATTAAATAGAAGCACCATGGGCAACAATTAGTTTTCTAAGTAGAACTTTAAAATATAGGGAACCAAAAATTTAGATCAGAGAACTCCTATAGGTCAGCAGCTTATCAACTAGATAAAGCAACAAGTACTTGTTGTCATACAGAAATTTTAGTTGTAGGTGGAAGATAAGGTGAATACAGAGGTAACCATGAGAATTTGCAGCATGTGCCCCAGTTCATTTCAGCTATGTACACCAACTAGGTTTGAACAAAATTTTAAGTAGAAAATGTGCCAAGAAGAGGGATTTCCTTTGCTTAATTGGGTAAAATATTTGGTTGAAATTTGTTAATGTGTGTGCTACAGGACTCTAGCAAAAGAAACAATAAGCAAGTCTAAAAACTGTAACTCCAACATCTGCAATAACTAAAAATGGCATAAAGAAAAGTATTATGCCTCTGTGGTGGATATGGAAGTTAAAACAACAACAACAGGAATCACTAAAAATGTACAAGAAGGTCAACTCACAGGGTGTCTTCTCCAGATGAGAACAACTCATCACTGAACTTCTTTGTAGGAAAAGTTGCTACCACAACAGGTTCCAGACCATGAAGCCCTCGTTCCAGCTGTTTCATGGAAAAGAAGTGCACAATAAACTATAAGTGATATATAAAAACAAAATAAGGAAAATTTAAGAAGATCTGAGATACGTGACTATTCAGATTTACGCCTTATAACACAAGAAGCCCAAGGATTCAGTAGATATGTTAGAGGTCTTCAGTTTCTATAGTAATCTAATAGAAAGGCAGAGGCTTTGGGGTAAAATGATAAGAATGAAGAATATTGCAAACGTGAATCAAGAAACTAGAACCAGCAGTCGAAGATATGAGAGATCAAGACTACCAAATAAAAAATCAAGAAAACACCCAGATTGCTTAAACTATGGTCGCAGCAACAAAAAGATGGAGGAACCCAAATTAAACAGCTTTTTTCATATATAATTCCAACAGCCCTTTTAATTGTAGTAAGGAAATTGAGCCCAATCGTGAATCTTCAAGAATTTCATAAAACAGATGGGCTTAGGATTACAGCAAGGAAACAAAGAAGATATGAACAATGAAAATCACTTCAGGATACCAAATTAATATTAGACCGAACAAATACAATGTAGAACACCCCATTCAGAAGCCCTGAACAAAATATTAGACCTTGGAATCCCAATGTTCATTAACCAGATAAAACCAATGATCCCATTTCTACAATTAACCAACCACGACTCCATTGAATGGAACGAGCATTAGCATTTTAGTAGCAAAGAAAAATTACAAAACAAGAAACAGTTAAACATGAAAAGAATGCTTACTAGACTAAGATCAGATCTAGAAGCTGTAGGGAAGGATCGTCTAGAAGCATTCAATTGGATCCTAGCACAAACGAGCCTCGTACATACAAATACTATGAACATCGTACTCACAGCAAACCCAATAATAGTCATCACTAAGTTAATACCCGAACTAATCATAGCTCTTCCTCCGCTATAATAACCTCAAATTTCTCCGTAACTTCTCATGATCTCTGTTTCCTTCTTTTTTGTTTCTATGATCCCTACTCCTAAAACACTAGACCCCACACCTACAGTAGCAATTCCGCATGATGAATCAATCAGTCACTCCCAATTCAACCTTCATCCGAACTGCAGTTCACCGTCTCCTCTCAAGTTTCCGCTTCGTCAGTCTCTTTGTCTCTCACTGTGTCCATGTGGCTAAAGGAAGGAAGAGTAAAAGAACTCGCAGCCATGGCAGAACCAATTGAGAGCTCACAAAGAAACCCTAGAGAGAGAGAGAGAGAGAAGAATTGGATTTGGATAGTGATTAGCGTCCATGATTAGCGGATGATTGAATCCCTATAATATAGGGTGGACGCTGAATAGAAATGGAAAGGATCAGACCAGATGGCTTTTGGCTTCCCTTCTTCCCTTTCTTCTTCCTCTTCTTCTTCTTCAATTCCATGTTCTGTTTTACTCAGAATTTAGAACAGAAATTTAACAATTAACAGTGGAAGTAAGAATTATTATTATTATTATTATTATTGAATAAATATGAAAATTGGGAAAATAAAAAAGAAATATATTACAGAGATGAAAATCGGGTCGGATTAGGAAGTAGGTGGAACCCACCGGTCAGAGTTTGACCTGGTCAATTATAACCATCTGATCTGAATAACAGTTGATCAGAAGATACTGTTGGTGGTGCTGCTGACTTTGCGAAATATAAGGAATAAAGGAAAAAAAGAAGTCAACCGGGACTCGGAGACATGTACGCCAGGGGTAAAGTATTGACTATGAATTGATAAATTAGAACAAAGATCAACCGTAAGGAACGATCAGGATGAATTTGCCGATCTGTTGTCGATGGTGACGGGCAGCTTGCCATTTGTTCTCAACGATAATGATGAGTAACTACTGTTCACCAAATCTACCATTGTTATAAGGAGACCGGACACCGGAGGATAAGACCATGAAACTTCCTGATTTCTCCCGGCCGTGCTGGCTCGCGGGCCGTTCAGCCGCCCTCCTCGTGGATAATTTGGGGGTCGGCTGGTTCCAGCCAAGCCTGTGCTAGATCGGGTAGGCTGCAGGCCATGCTAGGTTGGGTCATATGTCGGGCCTTGGGTGTGGGCTGAATCGGGTTATACTATATTTTTTGTTGTTTTTTTTATATTTTTTATATTTTTTAATTCTTTACTAAGTAAAATTAAAATATTTAACTTTCCTTTGAGAACTATTTGAAAAATAAGAAATCTAACAAATTTGGATGCACATCAATAGACTTTTATCATTCATATAACTTCTCTTATCGCCCAATACCCTATTACCTACACTAAAACAAGACCGATGGAATTGTAGACACCAAAGGGGTTAATAGATCATGTGTCATGGTAGCGAGAATCACCCTAATACTTGTATTAAAACAAGACCTGGATAATTTTTTGCATATTCACTCCACCATGCTAAAATATCAAAATTATTTGTTCCCTTCGAGGTGAAGGAAGAATCACCTAAAGTAGAAAAATTTACTTGTAAATAAAAATTAATTCCAATAAATGAACTTGTTGTCAAGGCACTGGATTTTTGTCTCTTACTTATTAAATAATAAAGTTTTTCTCTTCCACTACTAGACTCAAGTTTGGAAGTGGAAGATGCAGTTGTACAAGTTGTAGAATTTTTATTATTCCTTGTTACTTCATTCATAGAAACTGTACATTTTAAATAATAAACTATTAATTTTTTTTATTTCCAATTTCAATATTCATATTTTCACAATATGTTTCAAGTAAAATATCTAAACCATCTTTCCTAATCCTAAGATCTAATATTGTAGATAAGCACTAAATAGGAGGAGAAATGTTCTCCCAATATATATATATATATATATATATATATATATATATATATATTTAAAATTTATTTTTCATTATTTCAACAATACTTTTAAGTTGTGGATTCTTTCTATATTTTGCAAAACAATCACTAATCATCATTAATTGATGATCTAAATTACAACTAATTGAATAATAAATACATGATATCATTAGTTACATCATGAAAATGTTTTAAAAATATTTTATACAAATTGTCATTTCCTAGTCTTCCTCAAATATAAGATCAATAGGTATTTTTGCATTATAAAAATCACTAATAATCTGTTTGTGGGAAATACAACTTTCTAACATAGCATAGGCAGAATTCCATCTATATTTAACATCTAATATAAAATGTTTATATTTTAAACCATAATTTTGACATAAATATTTAAATTATTGTTTTATTGCTCTAGAACTTTTAATATATATAATACAATTTCTAATTTTAGAAATATGAGTAGAAATAATATTTAAATCATCCTGAATACATAAATTTAAGATGTGACATGCACATCTAATATGAAATAATTTACCATTTAAACATGGTTTTAATTGAGATTTTAAAATATTTATTGTTGAATCATTATTACTAGCATTATCAAAACTAATAGAAAATAATTTATTGTCAATTTTGTAAGCATGTTAAGTATTTAAAATACTTTCAGCAATAGTTGGGGCAGTATGTAGCCATTAAAGCCTATTAAAACTTAGGGTAAAATACAAAAACCTTCCCTGAAGTTTCTGACAATCATAAAATCCTCCCCTATAGTTTCATTTTAGCAAAAACCTCCCCTCTATTTTTGACAAAATTAACAAATACCTCCCTTCTATCAATGGCCAAGACAGAAAACGTTAAAGAGATGATCATTCTTTTCAAAATACCTTTTACCCTTTCTAGAACAATGTTCATCTTCTTCCTCATGACGCAAAACAGCAGAATGGCGGTCACTCCCCCCTCCAACCTTCTCTCTTCTTTAATTTCCCTCTAATTCTCTCTCTCTCTCTCCCCCCCCCCTAACACGGAATAGCACTATTCACCATTCCTCTCTCTCTCTCTCTCTCTCTCTCTCTCTCTCTCACTCTCATTCTTCAATCTTCATCAATGGCATCTCTACGTCTCCTCTTGCTCTCCCTTTCTTCTTCTTTTCTCCATCTAAGGCTTCCACACTAGACACTATTCCTCCCCATTCTTCAATCTTCATCAATGGTACTATTGATCACATACGTCTGAACTTCACTGATATCAAGAACATTCTAAATTTTGACCACCCTCACCACATCATGATAAGATGATCGCCTTATCTATCAACCAAATCCCAATTCAATCCCTCCTCTCCCTAATCAATCATTTCCTCAGGACTCCATCCTTAAAGAAATGAGCTCAATAATCTGAAACAAGAGGAAAACAAACAAGGAAAAGAGTTTACTACCCACCTGAATTACTCGATGATCCTTGTGCCTTAACCCCCAACAATAGAAGTAGAATGCGTCAGAGCTGCAATCGAGGCAATACATGTTGCATTCGCTCTGAGGTGTGTCGTTGTGTGTTCAAAAAATGGAGAGGAATGTTGTCGACAGCAACGGTTCCAGCCATGGCGACACCAACCTTGATCCTCGACTAGGATTTTGGCCTGAAACTTAACTCTGCAATAGGGAGCTTGAGCTAACTTCCATCTCGGATAGCAATGGTTCTCAGAGGATACAAATGGGAGATTGGCGAGAGAAGGAGATCTTTCCAATGTGAATGTCACTTGAAGCTGAGAGAGAGCAACGACTTTGAATGAAACTTGCAGCGATCGGCTCTGTTCAAACGACGTTCAAAGCAGAGTTTGCATTATAGATATGGGGTATGAGGTATGTATGATGGGGGATGAGAAGGGTAATCGAAAATGGTAAGAGATAGCCAGAAATATAAACAGAAATGTGATGGATGCGGCTATGGTGATGATCAGAGAATAGTGATGGAAAGTGATCCGAAAATGGACGTCGATAGGGGAAGGAGAAGAAAGGAGGGGAAGGAGGAACAAGAAGAAGAAAAGAGATGGAGTAGAAAGTGAGGGAGCACAGACGAGGGGAGAAAGATGGTGGGAGAAGGCGGGTCGATGTTGAGTTCAAATCCGCCACTGCAAGAAATGGGACAGAGAAAGGGAAAAGGGGGAAAAACAAGAAGCCGAAGAAGATGAGAGAAGAGGAAGAGATTGGATTTAGAGGGGGTGTCGCCGCTACCTCTGCTTCTGGGTTCGAACGGGGAAGAAGAGCAATATTGTTCGAGAAAGGGTAAAATAGGTATTTTGAAAAAATGATCATCTCTTTAACGTTTTCCATCTTGGTCATTGGTGGAAGGGAGGTATTTGTTAATTTTGTCAAAAATAGAGGGGAGGTTTTTATTAAAATGAAACTATAGGGGAGATTTTTATGATTGTTAGAAACTTCAGGGTAAAATAGGCTTTTAAATTCTTTCATTTAAAAGCCAATTTTCATCAGCGAAATAAAATGGTTGTTCAGTATGTACAATATATTTTGCTAATTCCTGTCACCTTTTCTTTAGAATATTTAAAAGTACCAAAACCCCTTTCCTAATTTGTATTTGTGTTGTTTTTCTCCCTTCTTCTTCTTCTTTCTCATGGGTGAGCAAATGTCTGCCCAAATGTCTAGTACCACCCTTGCTATAATAGCTAAAGTCTTTCCTACATTTTTGACAAACAATTCTTTTTCCCTTACCCTGAACCTCTTCTATTTTAAATATTTTCCAAACCGGGCTAATAAACTTAGTGGCCTTCTTTTTCTTTCCCCAGTATCAGTATTAGGGGTGGAAGTTCCATCAATATCAATAGCATCCATATCGATGCTAATACTACCATGCTGCGATTGAATAACATTAACATTGAACATGTTGGGGAATTGGTTTTGGGAAGAGCCTGCCATTTTTTTCTAAATTCTAATATATATATATATAATTTAAATTAATTGCACTTACCCGAATTGTCGGTTCAGAATCCCAACTTGATTTCAACGGTTGAAACCTTTCAACTCCAAGAATCCAAGCCTCCCAAATTTCTAACTTGAAAGTTGAAATAATTGAGCTATTGAGCAAGCCTTATTCTTGTTGAAACTTCAATAAAGTTGAGAAATGGAGAATCAGAAAATGTACAAGAGATCGAGACTTGAGAGAGTATGAGAATTAGAGAAGAGATTAAGAGAATTATTGAATTGGTGTAATGAAAATGGTGAAGGATATGGCTATTTATAGCAATTGAAAATAATTTAATTACCCAAAATACCCTAGAAACTAGTCATTTTTTATTTCTTGGGAGGGGTATTTTGGTCATTGTAAAGTTATTTATCACTTTTCCCAAAATGCCCCCAAACTAGTTGTTATATAGTTGTTGGGGGCATTTGTGTCATTCTTTCTCCCCCAAAACCAAAATACATAAATACCCCCCTATATAGCTATTTATAGTTATTGGGGGTATTTCTATAAAAAAATAAAAAAAAAACAAAAAGCTGAAACTAGCCGTTGGGGGTTGTGTCATGCCGAGCATGGCCTATTACAGGCCCGCAGGCTATGTTTTGCTGGCTCGTGCCAACATGTGGGCCGCAAGCGGCACGGCACGT